AGGGAAAAAGGGAGGGGAAACTGAGGGAAAAAGGATTGGAAAACTGAGGGAAAACGGATGGGAAATCTGAGGGGAAAAAGCAGCAAAAAGAGTGGGAAAAATGGAGAAGGAAATGGTGGGGAAAATGGAGAGGAAAATGGTGGGGAAAAGGGTGGGAAAACCTGAAGAGAAAAGGGCGGGAAAACCTGAGGGGAAAAGGGCGGGAAAACTGAGGGGGAAAGGGTGGGAAAAACTGAGGGAAAAAGCAGCGAAAAGGATGGGAAAATGGAGAGGAAAATGGCAGGAAAAAGGGTGTGAAAAATGTAAGGGAAAAGGCTGGGAAAATCTGAGGGGAAAAGGGTGGGAAAACTGAGGAAAAAGGGTTGGAAAAATGGAGGGAACAAGGGAGAGAAAACTGAGGGGAAAAAGCAGCAAGAAGAGTGGGAAAAATGGAGAGGAAAATGGTGGAAAAAACTGAGGGAAAAAGGGAGGGAAAACTGAGGGAAAAAGGATGGGAAAACTGAGGGAAAAAGCAGCAAAAAGAGTGGGGAAAATGAAGAGGGAAATGGTGGGAAAAAGGCCAGGAAAACCTGAGGGGAAAAGGGCAGGAAAACCTGAGGGGGAAAGGGTGGGAAAACTGAGGGAAAAAGCAGCAAAAAAGGATGGGAAAAATGGAGATGAAAATGGCAGGAAGAAGGGTGGGAAAAATGTAAGGGAAAAGGGTGGTAAAATCTGAGGGGAAAAGGCTGGGGAAAACTGAGGGAAAAGGATGGGAAAAATGGAGGGAACAAGGGAGAGAAAACTGAGGGAAAAAGCAGCAAGAAGGGTGGGGAAAATGGAGAGGAAAATGGTGGGAAAAAGGGCAGGAAAACCTGAGGGGAAAAGGGAGGAAAACCTGAGGGAAAAAGGATGGGAAAACTGAGGGGGAAAGGGTGGGAAAAACTGAGAGAAAAAGCAGCAAAAAGGATGGGAAAAATGGAAAGGAAAATGGCAGGAAAAAAAGTAGGAAAAATGGAGGGGAAAAAGAGATGGAAAAAAAGGCAGGAAAAAAAAAATGGGAAAAAGGATAGGAAAAAATAGACTGGAAAAAGGGCAGGAAAATCTAACCAGAAAGGACCCTCATGATGGCTTCGGCCTGGCCGGGCCGGAAGGAATTGTATCCCAAAATTCTCAGAGCTTCCAGGACTTCTTCTGGAGGATCTGTGGGATTCAGGAGGTGGGAATGTGGATTTTTTTTTTTCCATGTTTTTTATTCTGTGATTTTTCCATGGGTTTGTGCTGGGATTTACCTGGGATTGTCCCGTCGGGGTTTGGGGGGTAAAGGGGATCCACAGTGGGTGGAGGAGGGGATGGGGGGGAGAATTCTGGCTGAAGGAAATCCTGGGAATTTGGGGTGACTTGGGAATTTTCTGAACTGGAGCTGCCATCTGGAGGGAAAAGGAGAAAAAAACAGGATTTTAGGAGGAAAATCTCAGGTTTTTGCAGGAAAAAAAATCCCAGTTTTAGGCCCTAAAATGTCACTTTTGGGGACAACCCCCACATTTTCTGAGGGAAAATCCACATCTGTACCCTCCAACCTCAGTTTTTGGGGAGAAAAATCCCATTTTTAGGATCTAAACTTGCATATTTTGTGGGAAAATTCCTCATTTTTAGGATCCAACCCAAATTTTTCAGAAATTCTCCTTTTTAGGGCCTTAAATTTCATTTTTCGGGCCAAATCCCACATTTTCAGATCCCAAATCCTCATTTTTAGGATCCACTTCCTTGTTAGGATAAATCCCGCCCAAATTTAGGGAAAAGAATCATAGTTTTAAGGCAAAAAATCCCTCATTTTTAGTGTCAAATCCCTGATCTTTAGAGCCAAAAGTCCTCATTTTTAAGCCCAAATCCCACATTTTTTGATCCCAAAACCTGGTTTTTAAGACCCACCCCCTTTTTAGGAGAAACTCATACTTTTAGGAGAAAAAAAAAAATAAATCACATTTTTGTGGCCAAAATTCCAGTTTTAAGCCCCAAATCCCACATTTTTAGAGCCCCAAATTCCAATTTTTGAGGCCAACCTCCCTTCATTTCCCACCCTTTCCGTGGGAAAAAGCAGGAATTCCATAATTCCCGGTCTCACCGGGAATAAAAACGCCGTTGGTCCTTCGGGCCACTTCTTCCAGAGTGGGAAGCGCTTCCTCCTCCTCCTCAGGAATTTCCTCCTGGAACGATCCCAAATCCTTCCCTGCGTGCACAAAACGGGCAATTCACTCTAAAATCCATGGAAAAGAACACCCCTCACGCTTTTCCCGCTGTTTTATCCCAAAAAATCCCCTCAGAAATCCCAAAAAACCCCCGGCCTCACCTGGGCATTCCGAGGCCCAGTGGCCTTTCCCGCCACACCGGAAGCAAAGATCGGATCCGGCCCCGAACTTTTTCCTCCATTTCTGTTTCCAAATCTGAGGGAAAAAAAAATTCCAAACTCAGGAATTCCAGTGGGGGAAAGGCTGGGGATTCCCAAAAAATAAAATTGGGAAGGTTTTACCCTTTTCCGAAGGAATTTTCCCCTCAGGTTTCCGCGGGAATACGTTTTTCTCTTCAGGTTGAGGAGGACGAAATTCCCGCCATTTCGGGGCTGGACTCTGAGGGAAAAGAGGGATTAAAACCAGAGGGAATCTTGGAAAAGCTGGAAAAAACCCTGAATTTTGGATTTCCCAGTTTTGGAGGTTCTCAGGTTTTGGGGATTTTTCCGATTTTGGAGTCCTTATTTTTGGTTTTATTTTAAAGAATCTTGAATTTTGGGATTTTTCCCATTTTTATGACCTAAAAATCACATTTTTTATGGGGAAAAACCTATTTTTTGAGACAAATTTCCTGACTTTATTCTGTAAAATCTTATTTTTATGAGGAAAAGAAATTCTAACTTTTTGGGACAGATTCCCTGTTTTTATGAGGAAAAAAAAAATCTGATTTTTTTTTAGCGCAAAATTTCCCATTTTTATATGAAAAAAAAAAAATCCCATTTTTTTGGGCACAAATTCCCCGTTTTTATCGGAAACAAAATCTGATTTTTTTTTTTTCGCACAAATTTCAAATTTCTATGGGAAAAAAAATCCCTGTTTTTTTCAGACCAATTTTATGGGGAAATCTGAATTTTTTTAGGACAAATTCCCCATTTTTTTACCCTAAAACCCCATTTTTATGGTCCTTAACTTTGGGATTTTTGATTTTGGGATGGTCTCTAATTTTGGAGGTCCCTAATTTTGGGATTCTCCAATTTTTAGGGTCCCAGATTTTTGGGATTCCCTAAATTTAAGGGATCACTGATTTTTGAGATCTGCAAATTTTAGATTCCTCAATTTTAAGGATCTTTCATTTGGGAAGGTCCCAAATTTTGGAATTCTCCAACTTTTAGGCTCTGATTTTTGGAGCCTTTCATTTTGAGCTCCCTGATTTTGGAATTCTCCAAATCCCAAATCTTCCCATCTTGGAAAAACTGGGAAGGAAAACCAGGAAAAACTGGGAATTACCGGGTTCTGCGCGTGGGTTTGGGTTTTTCCTCCTTTTCCAGGATTTTTTCCAAGCGATCCGGCGCCTTCCCAGCTCCATTTTGGGATTCCAGCCACTCTCCCTCATCCTCATTTTCCTTCTGGATTTGCCTCATCCCAAAAATTCCTGGATCAGATCCTTGGAGGCTCCTCCGGAGCTTGGCCGGAGCCTCCGTGGCGCCTCCACCTTCCCGGGGCCTTTTCCTCACGGAATTCCCAACGGATTGGGGCTGGATTTCCTCTTTTTCTGTCGCGGATCCCGCTGGGAATTCCCGTTTTTTAGGGGATTCCTGGCACCTCTGGATCCAACCGGGATCCAACGATCCCAAAGTTTGGGCCACCCTCTGCTTCAGCTGCTGGAATTTTTCGGGAATTGAAGTTAAACTGGGATTTATTCCCGTCGGGAGCTTGAGGGGACCCAATCCCGGCACCAAAGGAGGAAGGACGAGGTCTTCAAATTCCTCGGAATCTCCGGATTTTTCGGGATTTTCGGATTTTCCTTCATTCTGTGACGGCTCCGCCGGTGAAGATTCGGCTCCGCGCTCCGGGGTTTTTTGGGATTGGGGAATTTTTGGGATTCTTCTGGGATTTGGGGTTCTCCGAGGGGTCAGAGGAGGCTCCTGGAGGAAAAGGAGGGGTCAGATCCCGATTTTTTTTCTCCTCTGGAATTCCAAATCCCAAATTCAAAAGGGCCTGGATTTGAATCTCCCTGATTTTGGAGAATCCAAGTTTTGGGGCTTCCAATTTTTAAAGAATTCCTGGTTTTGGGATTCTCTGATTTTGGGATTCTCCAACTTTTGGAGTTTCCAGTTTTTGGGATTTTAATTTTGGGGTCTTTGACTTTGATGTTGCTGATTTTTAGGGTCCCTAATTTTGAGATTTGCCAGCTTTTAGGATCTCTGATTTTGGGATTCTTTGATTTTTTTGGATTCTCCAATATTTAGAATTCTTAATTTTGAGCTTTTTGATTTTGGGATCTCCCAACTTTTGGGGGTCCCTGACTTTGGGATTCTCCAATTTTTGGGGTCTCACATTTTGGGATCTCTGATTTTTGGGGTTCTCCAAACTTTGGGGTTCTCCAAATTTTGGGGTTGCCTCTTTTTGGGGTCTTTGATTTGGAGATCACAAATTTTGGGATTCTCAGACTTCTGGGGACTTAAATTTTTGAGCTCTCTCACTTTGGGATTCCTGATTTTTGGGGTGTCTCATTTGGGATTCTCCTACTTTTGGGGATTTCCATTTTTTGGGAATTGCTAATTTTGAGATTCTCCCTCAGGAATAACCCAAATTTTGGGCTGAAAAATCCCCCAAACACCCCCAGAAAAAATCGCTTTCCCCTTTTTTCCCTCCATTCCCGACCTTCCCAATCGTTCCCACTTTGGCTTTGAGCTTCATCCCGTAAAATTCTGCTGAAATTCCCGGCCTGGCGCTCCTGCTCTGGCTTTTCCCGGGAATTTTCGGTGCCCGGTTCAGGTGGGAGCCCCAAAATCCCGAATCCTTCACCTGCAACGACACCAAAATCCCCAAAAATCCTCCAGATCTGATCAATCTCAGCCCAAAATCCCCAAAATCTGCTCAGTCTCGGCCCAAAATCCCCAAAAATCCCCCAGATCTGCTCAATCCCAGCCCAAAACCCTAAAAATCCCCCAAATCCACTCAATCCCAGCCCAAAACCCCCAAAATGCCCCAGATCTGCTCAATCCCAGCCCAAAATCCCAAAAAAAACCCCCAAATCTGCTCATTTCAGCCCAAAATCCCCAAAATCCCCCAAATCTGCCCAATCTCAGCCCAAAATCCCCAAAAATCCCCCAGATCTGCTCAATCCCAGCCCAAAATCCCCCCAAAAATCTCCCAAATCTGCTCCATCCCAACCCTAAATCCCAAAAATCCCCCAGATCTGTTCAATCCCAGCCCCAAACCCTAAAAATCCCCCAAATCCACTCAATCTCATCCCAAAATCCCCCAAAAAATCCCCCAGATCTGCTCAATCCCAGCCCAAAATCCCCCAAATCCACTCAATCCCAGCCCAAAATCCCCCCAAAACCAAGCTCAGATTCATCCCAAAGATGGAAAACCAATTGAATTTGATCATTCCATGGGAAATTTTGGGATGAAAACGCCCCCAAATCCCATTTTCCACCCCAAATCTTTTTTTTTTCTTATTTTTTGAGGGGGTCTTAAGCCAAAAATATTCCTCATCCAGCACAAATTTTCCCAAAAAATCCTCAAAAACCAACTGGGATGAACGTGGCTTTGCCCACAGTAGGAAAACTCAGGGAAAATTCCCCCAAAAATTTGGATCAAGGAGAAATTTTGGAAACCCCAAAAGTCCAAGGGGGTTTTTCAGGACCTGCTCCACATTTGGGATTTCCTGGGATCCTGTTTTTCCTGAGGAATCCGATGTTTTTCCCTGCTGTTTCAGCATCTTGTACTCCTTGTAGAGCTCTGCAAGAGAAAATCCAAGGAAAATTTGGAATTTTTGGGAAAAAAAATTATGTTATAAACCCAGGAAACCTCAAATATCCCAAAATTCCCAAAATAAAACTCACTCCGGGTTTCCTCTGGAGCTTCCTCGATGTCGGCCTGTGAGGGAAACACATCCCAAAAAATGATGAATTTTGGGAATTATCCCAATTTTCTGGGAGAGGGAAAGAATTTGGGGGTTTTTTTGGGATTTGGGTGGGTTTTTTTTTTTTGATTTGGGGTTTATTTTGAAAGAAAATCAGGATTGGAGCAGCTTTATGGTAGAAAATCCTATGGAAAAGCCTCACCTGGATGCTTTTTTTATGGAAAAATTAATGGGAAAAAAACCTCTCCAAGGACCTCCCTGAGGCTCTCCTTGACCTGATTCCCCCCAATACTCCCCAAGCACCCCAAAAATTCCAGGGACATCCCAAAACCCCCATAAATCCCCCCAGAAACCAATCCCAAATCCCCTGAATCACCCCAAAGATCCCCAAAAAAACCCCCAGGACCTCCTGAATCAACTCACCCCATTCCAGGGACACCCCAAAATCCTCATAAATCCTCCCCATAACCAATCCTACAATACCAGGGACCCCCTAAACAGCCCCAAGAACACCCTCAGACCCCAAAATCATCCCAAGGACACCCTAAAAATCGCCAGGACCCCCTAAACTAACCCCTTCAAATCCAGGGACACTCCAAATCCCCATAGGACCCCCCTAAATTAAACCCTTACTACCCCAGGGTCCCCCTAAACCACCCCAAAACCTGCCCAGTACCCCAAAACCACCCCAGGGACCCCCTAAACCACCATAAATCTCCCCTGAAACCAATCCCCAATCCCCTAAATCACCCCAAAGACCCCCCAAAAAAACCCCCAGGATCTCCTGAATCAACTCACCCCATTCCAGGAGCCCCCCTAAACAACCCCAAAGACCCCACAGACCCCCCAAAATACTCCCCCATTCCAGGGACACCCCAAAATCCTCATAAATCCCCCCCCAAAACTAATCCACACCATTCCAGGGACCCTCTAAATCACCCCTAAGACCCTAAAAGCACCCCAAAAAAACCCCCAGGACCTCCTGAATCAACTCACCCCATTCCAGGGACACCCCAAAATCCTCATAAATCCTCCCCATAACCAATCCCACAGTACCAGGGACCCCCTAA